AGGAGCTCTGTGCAGATCTTAATTAAGCACCAAGTGGAGGCCTTTGGTGATTAACAGCTCACCAGGAGAGGGAAGAGTGCCCTGAGGGCTGGAGCTGATCGTGCCCGCAGAACATGGGCTTCAAGCTTTGAGGGTTGTCAGGACCCGATGATGGAGGACCAGAGCAGGGAGGAGTTAGAAAAAGGGAGAGCCTTAACTCCTAGCTTTGCCCTGTGAGTGCGGCTCCAAATGCAGCGCCGCAGCACTCTCTGGAGGAGGATGGTTAGGAAGGTGGGCATGCGCCCCTGGGGGACGATGGTATCTGGAGACTGCAAGGGGGAGAGATGGGCACTGGGTACCATCCCCTGGATGCAGGTCTCCTTACCTGGGAGTCCTCTGCCTGCATGGACTGCCCTCAGCACGGGCATCTGCTTCTCCAGGAGATAGGTCAGCCCCTCCAGGGTTAGACCGGAAACCGGTCTTTCCTATCCTCACTTTGCTCAGTGCTTGGCACAGCGAAGGTCCTTCAAGGATGTCTGTCAAATGAGCTGTGAATGAACCAAAGAACAAGAAGCAAGACGTCAAAGAACAGGGTGCCCCAGCGCACCTCCAAAGCTGAATTCGCCCCACGCAGGGAAACCACGAGCAGGCGCAGATGTTCATTGCACACAGCAGCTATGGAGACACTGACACCTCTCCTGGGGTGCCGGGGAAGGACAGCGAGCGGTGACATTCCACAATGGCCAGGGTCAGGACACAGTGCACCACCCGTCAGGGTTTTACTGGGCCTCCTGGACACTGCAGAACTAGAGTCTGGTGTCCCCCTTCCCTGGACAGGCAGGCTTCTCGCTGGGCTGAGAGCTCAGAGTGCAAGGGGACCTTGTCCAGCCACGTGACCCAGGTCTCCTGAATCCCCGTCAGAGGCTCTTTTCCAAGGATCCTGGCGTGGGAGTAGTGCTGGAACCAGGGCGAGGCAGGCGGGGTGCAAACGTTACAGGGTACCAAAAAGCTCAGTGATGAAGATCAGTAACATCTGGACACAATATTTTTAAAAATCAAAATTGGTAGGTCCAGGATAGATAAAATATCAAATTTTTAAAAATTAATTAAAATCACGTCTTTGCATGCTTCAATCTTACCCACCGCACCCCCACCGCAGCCCAGACCAAGGGCCCCGTGGCAAGGACGGGTGGGATCAGGGGCCATGAGGAAATCCACAGGAAGGTGATTCCCAGAAGAGGGCTGGGGGTGGGTATCAGCGAAGAGAGAGGGGGGACAGTGCCCAGGGCACAGGGACTGTCAGACAGAGCAAGAAAATGGCCCCTGCCCCTTCTCATGGAGACTGGAGTCGGAGACCAGCCTGTTCTCAACAAGCTGTACCCCAGGGAGACCCCCTGCCAGGACAGCAACTCTGACCTCACCCCTGCACCCCCTGCAGAGAATCCCCAACCCTAATCAAATCTAAGCCTTTTCATCTCAAAGGGGGTGCATTCAAACAACGACAGCTGTGCATAACCCTTCCTGCCAGGGAAAAACACCCAGGTCGGTCTGACTTGCTGACAGTGGGTGATGGATGGGGAGGAAAACACATTCATAAACCACTGACGGTAACTTCCTTTTAAGGTCTGTCCTGGGCCCGGTGACTCCCCAGCTCCGCCTGCCCCCAGTACCCACAGCAGCTTGTTTTTCAGCGATGAGCTTGGGCTTTGGGGTCAGACCGTCTGAGGTCAGTTCATCTCCAGCTTTGCCACCTACCATGTGGCCCTAGGCAATGTGGCAAGATGACAGGCCACCAACTGTGCTTCCAGAGGCCTGGTGGGGGGGCTGGGGATTTAGCTCAGCGGCAAAGCGCCTGCCTGGCAAGCGCAAGGTCATGAGTTGGATTCCCAGTACCAGAAAAAAAACTACAAAAAAAAAACTACAAAAACAAAACAGAGGCCTGGTGGCAATTTAAACAACATGATAAGGGCCGAGGGATGAGCCACAGGGACAGGCAACAGGGTACCAGGACCCAGCACCACCACACGACTCAGATGAAGGACGTTGGCCAGTTCTCCCAGTATTTTAAAAGAAAAAACTTTGATGTAAAATTTCCAGATGTTTAAAGATGAGTAACTCATATTAAATTTTTCTAAAAAAGAAGTTAACCCAGTAGAGACAAATACAACAAGTCTGTGGGCCAGAGCCCGCTACGGGTCCAATGTGTTTCTCAGATAAGCTACAGCTCACCCGTGGCCACCTCGCACCCAGTAGGTGCTCCTCGAGCGTCAGTAGCTCGTCTTTTCAGAAAGCTGCCCGAGCATCGTCAGCACCCACTTCCACCCAGCAGCTCGGGAGTGGATGCGCCCCAGGAAGGGAACGAAGACAACGAAGACATGAAGAGAAGAGCTGGAAATCTGTAAGGCTCTAAGACAGGGAGAAACTGCAGAGGGAATTCCTTAAAAGGATTTAGAAGGATTTTATTGGATGTCGTTTAGCACAGGCAGGGATAAGATCGGGCAGCAGTGTAACCCGAGTGCAGCATGGCACGTGGATGCATGTGGGGGTAGGAAGGGGCCGGAGGGAGGCAGTGTCCTTACTGATGGTCTCCACAGTGCGGTGGTCTCCTGTGTGCAGGTCACTCTGACATCGACTCGGGCGCATGGTGTTCTGCTAGGCGCAGTCCCTGGACCAGCTCCTCTCTAGAGCCGGCCATAAGGTCTCAGATGGTCTTCAGTGGATCTATCCACTTATGTGGGCTCTGCAGTCAGACCCAACGGGGTAGGAGCTCAAGTCTCCAATAGCATTCATTCTCAAAGTGTGAACCCCAGATCCACAGCATCTGCAGCACCAAAGAACCTGCCAGACAGGATCCTCTCCGGACCCACCAAGTCACACTCCAGGGGGCACCACGCCCTCACCAGAGGACTGACGTGCACAAGGTTTTGAGAATCTCTCCTCACATCCTAGTCCTGTGACCTTCGGCAAGGACAGTAACTTGATGTTACAAGATGGTCAAATCGATCCCATAGGATTATCCTGAGTTCCTCCATCACCGAAAGGGGCTTCTCTGATGCGCCTAGCACTGTGGAAGCTGCTGGCCAGGAGCAGGCAGTACAGTCCTTGCCCTGATTTGGACCTGGATGACCAGCAGGGAGACAGGTAATGAGCAAGTAAGACAGAAATATGGCTCCTCGGGCCTGGGATGGAAGAGGAAGGCGAGGTCTAATGAGGTGAAGAGGAGCAGTGACGCAGGGCCAGGCTGCCAAAGCCCACACAGCGCACGGGACCCCGGCCCAGCACTCCTCGCGGCGCTGTTCCTCCAACACACACCCTTCTCTCTTCCACTTCCAGGCCACCGCATGGCTGGCCCGTCCACCTAGCAAGGTCTCTTTCCAGATCTGCCAAAGATGGGCTCCTTCTCCCCGCTGAGGGCTCAGCGACGCAGTCACTGCTCAGCAGTCCTGTCTCATTCTGTCTAAAGCGGTCTCTGCTGTCACTCTGCACCTCTCCTTTGCTCTGGCTCCTGCCTGCCCAGTCTGGTCACACTGCAGCCAAGTACTGGCCAAGGTCTCCTGGTCCCGCCTCTCCCCAGCTGAAGAGGAGCTCTTGGAGCCTGTCCCTGTCTGTCCTGGTAGGTCTGTCTGTCATCCCACCGCCAACCAATGCTTGCTGCATGAATGAGCAACTCAACGTTTACCTCTTAAAGCTCATGCTAACCTCTTTAGGTGAAGCCCGGACACAGCCAGGACTCACACGCCCTCCCCTCCTCCCCCAGGAGGCTTTGCTCAGGCCGTTTCCTGGTTCTCTGATGGTGGGGAAGGGTGGTAGAAGAAGAAAAAGAGGAAAGAAGAGTGCCACGCAAGGACCCTAAATTCTGGTTCTGCAGGGGCACCGTCTCCTCCGCAAGGGTGAGGACCCTGTGACCTCAGGACCCAGGCGCTGCTTGCATGTGCAGGGTGTGCAGGTGACTGGAGCATGTCAGTCCGTCTGGGGCACGTGGACCGAGCCAGAAAAGTACCTGGGATGGCACACGCTGTCCCTAAGAGGTTGCCACGAAGAGTGTGACTGCCCCAGCTTGTAGTGGCAGGACAGGCCAGCGGCAACGGTGCTCTTGGAGCTGGTGGGGGGTCGGGAGTGTCATTGGCACCTGTTGCCCCAGCACCCGTGAGTCTTTAAAGGCGCTCCCTGGCAGACCCGGGGCCGCCGCGCACCTGGACCTCCAGAGAAAGGCACAAGAATGTGGAGGCGTCGGGTACGGCCTCGGGGCCGCGGGAGGTGCAGACTTTCAGGGCGTGTGTGCAGACCCTGGGGGCCGTGGCGCAAGGGGCCCGTGCCCACCCGCGCACTTGGACCGCTGGCGACAGCACGTGACTCGGCGCGCCGCCCCGGGGCGGCGGAGCACGCGGACCTGCGAGGCTGG